GGGCATCTAGTCCCAGTTACTTGGGAGGCTGAGGCAAAAGAGTCGCCAAAGCCCAGGAGTTGGAGGTGGCTGTGAGCTGTGTGATGCCACAGCACTCTACCGAGGGCGATGAAATAAGACTCTGTCTCTACAAAAGAAAAAAAAACACTTTAAATTTTGTTCTTCTATCTTTGGAATTCTCAGAAATTAAACATCATTCCCCCCAATTCCCCAGTGGTCATAATTATCAGTATAAAAAAACACTGATGTAGTGCCATAAAGGCTCTTAAGGCAACTTACGATGATGAATCATTTTCCTTAGGATAATCTTCGCTTAACTCTGAGCCAGATGATAGCATTCTTTTCCTCTTTTCAGTCCTGTAGAGAACAGAAAAAAAATAATTTATTTATTTCACTCCCCCCTCCAAAAAAGCTTATTTTAAAAAGTCATAATTCATACCACTGAAAATCATAAACCAATATAAAGGACAAGCAATAAGACTACTGTTATCTAATTCTCTACACTATATTTAAATTAATATACTGTACGTCTATGTGCTCCAATATGTATCACTGACATAAGCTATAGATGACAAATACTTGTAATCATCTACCAAAAAAGTACTCTATACTTTGCCTTCATTCTCTTCAAATTGCTGTTCTAAAAAACCTAAAAAACATTTATAAACAGATAAAGCTAACAAGAAAAAAAAAGTATTTCCTACCGATTTTCTAGTAACCCTGATCTGAGAGGTGTTGATGTAGACATCAAAGAAGGAACCAAAGAAGGAACTGTCCGTGTAACAGCTGTTCCACTTCCTGCTACAGTTTTAATGGATCCTCTACCTGGATTACCAAGAACTTTGCGAAATGATACATCATCTTTAGTTTCCAAACTTCCTCTTTTTGAAGACACCTGTAAGAATAAAGTTTGAGATAGTTATGTCTTCAATTAATTGGAATACAATTAGACCAATGACTCTCACTTACAGAGCTTTAAAAATACAAGTAGAGACGTATCTCTAGACTAGATTCTTTTTTTGAGACAGAACCTCAAGCTATTCGCCTGGGTAGAGTGCCATGGCATCACAGCTCACAG